CGCCCACCTAGATGCTTATCCGGAGGTCTCGAGCATTCTTTGGACGTTAGCGCGTAAACTTGTTTGCACCGTTCCACGAACGCACAGCGCGAAAATCGAAAGCACAGGTCTCGAGAAATGTTCCCACTTTGTCGTCGGGAAAGGTCAGTGTTCGCTCGGATCCGTTGGAACATAGTGTCTAGTAAATTGCTTTCGTTCCAAGAGTAGCAAAAATGGCGATTTTTGTACTCTGTCCCCCTCGCCCGGATAAGTGAAGCGTGCAGCGACGAGGTTCCGCGAATGGCGCGGCGTTGGTTAAAGATTAAACACCGGGTCAAGTAATCCCCAGTCGAGCCAGATTCCGAACGAATTACAGAACCGATGACAGACTGCAAAACGAAGAATCGCGACGTATGGCTCGTGGCCTGACTCATAAACGGGAGCAGAATTGCAATTGAGAGTATCCGAGGGATTGGCCGACGAAAAAGTTCAACGAACTGGAAGCACGATGGCCGTTAATGCGGACGAATCAGTCGCGGACACGAAAACCCGATACCGATGATAGATCCGCGGACCCGCTCGGATTACGTATAACTCAACAAGTTAGAATAACGTCCCTGGACGACATTGATCCTTGTCATCCTCATAGTCTTACTGCTTTTAAGTAGTATCGAATGACACTCTCTAGCTTGGGCTGTAGGTCTAGGCGATACTCTAATCGCCTGGTCTCATCCCTGCTGGTCGCTACTCTTTGCTCAACCACCTCGTTAAACTTGTTGCAGCGAGCTTGGAAACTCTAAATTTTCGATTCATTTGGTAAAATAGGCGCGTTAGCGATTGCGTGAAACCCAGATCGTGATTCAAAAGGATATGTAAATAATCAGGGTCGTTTGTCAGAAGACCGAGGTAAATAAGACTGCTGGGCTCGACATCGATCCTTGTCATTCTTCCATAGCTTAGTTCTCTTAAACAGTATCAGATGGCAGTCGTTATCTAGGCTATAGGCTCAGGCGATAGTCTAAACGCCAGGCCTCCAGTCGTTTCTTCACGCTCGAGGCCTCACCTCGGGGATCTCATTAAATTCGAGCTACACGTTCCGGGCTCGATAACTCAAAATTTCGAAAGATTCGAACGCCGAACAGACAATTTGAAACGGTAAGAGAGACTCCGATCGAAAAAGATTCATTTCTCAAAGAGCAAACAGAATCCTTGAATCGTAGTCGACATCGATCCCTGTCAACCTTCCATAGTCTTCTTTTGACCAGTATCAAATATCGCTGGTTAGTCTATGGACCTAGTCGTTTCTCCACCCTTGATTCACTATCTCTGGGATCTCATTAAACTTGTCAAGTTGTTCTAGACTACAGGACTCGACATTTTTAACTCTTATAATAATAATTGTTTGATGCTTTAAAGGAAAGTTGATTTGAAAATCGACAGAAATTTGATAAGAATCAAAATTGAGTAAAATTATTCAGTCGAGATCGTGAGTCCACTTACGGGTTAAGCAAACGAACGAACGTTCTCATGGACCTACATACTCATGTAGGAGTACGAAGGAAGTTAGATCGGAAAGGAGTAATTTTTCAAAGACACGTAGTACGAGTCGATCCTTGAAGCCGGATCGTCATCGATCCTTGTCACCCTTCCCACAGTGTATCTTCTTTTAAGTAGTATCGGATGACGCTGGTCGGACCTAGCGTAGTTCGGAGTGGTCAGTGGTTTCGCTGTTATTAAACTCGTTGAGGTGAACGTTCCAAGTCGCAATCGTCGAGCGTGGTGGCCCGTGAAAATAACCGGGGACTTAGTCTCTGCTCGCGTGTATCATCACCCGGGGTCTCGGGTTCGTCTCCGGTTCGGATGACGTGGTCACCGAATCGTCCACCTCCCCGATTCGGTTGGCCGATCCGTCTCGTCCTTCCTCTCTGGTTTCATCCCGCTACATGACTCGACCGCGTGGCATGACTGTCGCTAACACGCGAACCCCGAAGTTAACCCGCAATTTAGCCAGAGAGCGATCGTTCAAAAGAGACGTCTCACTTGATGCCACTTAACGAATCCCCTGCCGTTCACCCGGAGACGCGTCCGACTCGTGCTCGTTTCCAGATGCGACGATTGCTCTGCTCAGAACACGGAATCGGCCGTGATTAAAGTTTCAGGGGCGGAATAATTCATGACGCGGTTCGAGCATTTCAATGAATTCGGATCGTCGCTTATTCGTGTACCGCCTCTCTTCTCCACCGCCCCCGCCCCCCTCCTCCCCCTCCCCCCCCCCGTTACTCTACGAGTTTCCTCGAATTCAATTACACGGCCGTAGCACGCGTTCGTTATCCACGGCATGACGCGCAACGTTCAATTAACGCGCGCGTCATAACTCACGACGATAATCGCGGCGAATCAAAAAGCACGACGACCCGACGGCGCTTACGCGCCGCGACGACCGCGGACGGATTCCACGGCGCTTTGGTCGCGGACATGGGAATTCCTGGACGTCTTGCGAACTTCCCACGATAAATCACGGCCCCGCGGGGTTGACGGGGTGACGCGTATGATTACACCCTGTCTCTTAACGGCTATAAATTTCGCGCCGACCGCTCCACCTCCGCTCTAGGATTCCACAGGTATCCACGAGTCCCGTTCCGTCTACGAACATCATTTTTACCCGAGAATTCAGTAATGTGATGAATGTGTCTCGAATAATAATAGAAATTTCTGGGTTAGGACGTAGTAAAATACTTCGATTGTTAAAGGACGCTTGCGTGGAATAAATTTACGTATAGAAGTAATTCGTATCGAACTATAATATTCTTTAAAAATATGTAGTACGAAGAAAAGCAGTGTAGAAATCGAGTATTCGAACCTGGGGCTGTATTGTACCTTGGTTCGGATAATTATGACTCATCCGTCCGTCGCGGTGCAGTAATCCTGATGTATCGCTCGTCCGAGCGCATAAAGGATGGATTCCATCGACGAGATTGGCCCTTTCTGAGAGGACAAGGCCGATTTCGATGTGTCCAGATGATCCCAGGGTCCTTTGCCGCGACGTTCTCGTCTCTATTATTCGGAACTATCGCGCGGTATATCCGAGGAATTCGTCTCCGGGTGGTTCCCGAGTCGGGCGTCGTCGGACCCTCTGATCTCCTCGTCGTTAACGCGAATCCAGCTGTCCCTCTGTTTCGGGGATAACCATCATTTTCGAATCACTGATTCGGCCCTGTCATTTGGCCGGGGCCAGAAATTAACGCGACCAACCGTAACCGTGGCGTCCAGTTAAACGGGCATCTTGGCCGGGCCCTGGAATTAGAATCGTCCCGGCGCGTTTTTAAATCCATTAGCCTTTCGTGCCCCGGTGTCCCGTCATTAAATCACCCGTTCAACGATGCTTTCTCGGGCCCGGGTATCGACACCGTACGAGCAATCGGTAATTAAATAATACTAGTTTTTTTCGCGAACAGTTTAGCGTTTCGACGCGTGGGGGCCGCCGAGGGGGGCTAATATCACGGCGCGTCGTCGTCGAAGCGAAGCAATCTTCCGCGTTTCAAGAATATAATTTTCGCCGTGGGATGGTCGCTATATTTCCAAGATAAGACTATAGAGCTCCGTCGGATCCGCTGCTAGCCCAGCAAGACCCTACTCTCTCGTGTGAAATTACTTCGCTCCGCGGCTTACTCTTATCCCTCGGTGCCACCCTTTCTTACCGTGTATCCTCATTCAGCCGGGATCTCCCTGGAAATAAAGTAGATACCTTTCCTATTTTCGCATCCGGAAAATTGCAATACCTCGGCTGCGAGTTCCTGGTTCCTTGTCCGCCTTATAAATCAGTCTCGAGCCGCTACCGTTAATCGCGTCCCTCCGATTCGTCCCTTCCGTTGATCCTCGATCGTAACGATAGGTTGGTAAAAAAGTCAATGTAATTTCAGTAGGTCATAGTTTAAGGTTTCGACCCGTATTTTGGGCGGTCGCTTCTCGAAGAGCCCGTAAAAATAGCGCGTTTTTCGATTGGAAAGTCGCGTTAATTGAGAAATATGGGATCCAGCGTCGCGGGTTATCGCGATCACGCCTCGAATTCGCATCTATCGCGAATCGTTTCGCACGTACCGGTACGCGAGCGAACCCGTTGAGCGAGTGCCACCTCTTAACGCAACAAGCTCCTCTCGCGCGTTTATCTAATTATTATAATTGCACGATTATTCTCGGTCGAACGAGCCGCGGCAGGGGTGAGATCGCATGCCGGCCGTCGTCCGGTTCGAAGAAAAAGAAGGAAAGAAATAACGGGATATATATGGAGCAGCACGCGATACGATCTCCCGGTCGATGTCGTGATGCAAACGATCACGAATTCTTTGCTCCGTTTGTATCGGCCGTTTCTGCATTCTTTCGTTGCCTCGCATGCGCCCGACGTTCGCGTAATAACTGTTCCGTGTGGAATTTTGCGCGGGACAACGTTTATTTTTGCGCCACGTCGCCCGGACCGACCGGTCGCCGCGTTATTGGCCAACGGTAGTTCCGTTTTCACGAATTTATGTTTTTCATTAGCCCCCCGAGTGGCGACTACGAAAGCCGGGTCCATTCAATTCGCTCCGGTATCGTTCACCCCGTTATGATGCAAATTCGATCGTTTTCCCGATCAAACCACTCGTCGCCATAAGGTACGCGATACCTAAGCGATGGCGTCTTACAATCTCTAGGGACTACCAAAGAAAATGTTAAATTTAAGAATATTCGATTGGTGAAATAATCAGTAAGCAAACGTAGACTAAAATCGACATTCTGTAATTATCTGAAAAAGGGGGCCTGAATGTTTGTTAAATTCTGAATGTGTTGAGAGTTAAAAAATATCGAGGCCCCCTTTTTCATCACATGATAACAATGAGATCTACCACTCAGCGACCAAAGTATTCAAAACGGAGGTACAATTAGTTACAAGTACGATTCGATCGCATTTATTTTATTTGTAATTTCTAGTCGTATCTTGTTTGCATATGTGATTAACGAAGAATGGATGTTATTTTTTGCTTCAGGTAAATGGTGTCCGCGTAGGGAATGGAGTTCACCGCCAGACGCGCAGCGAGCGGCTAGCGACGCGCGTCGCGGCGTTCTTTACTCTTCCGTCTTCCTCGGTAGTCCCGGTAAGTCTCACGAAACTCTCTTCTCGCTTCTCTTCGAAACTTTCCGCGCCCTTCCAAAATTGAATATCTTCGCGAAATATGGCCGGGCATTCCGCGACTCTTGTAGCAAACTTCCGTTAAATGTCGTCGCTCGTACGTTATCCTTAATTAAACCGGGACTCGCAGCCCGTTTCGCGCGCCCGCGCGGAGTTCTCGCGTTAATCGCGAGCGGGCTTCGCCTGTACAGCGATCAACGCATACTCGTCGCGCATTAACAGCGCTCGATCGTCGTCGATTGATCGATCGCGCGCGAGAAAGCTCGTTTCGAATCAATGGGGGCAGCTTCGAATTCCGAATTTCGGGGTCAAAAACTGTGTAACTAGCTCCGTTTGTAAGTTGTTAGTTTCCAACTAGTTCTATGATCTTATGATCTGCCCCAGAGTATGCAAGCTAAAGAAAATACAGAATATGAAAATCTAAGTTGTGAAATTAATCGAACACAGAGGTTTCATCCGATCGATTAATTGAACAGCGAAGAAATAGTTAGGTTCAGGAGTTCGCGTGCGTATCCCGGCGTACTAGTAGCCTTCGATCTTTAGCGATTAATCGACGGGGACCGGTAGATGGTCGATCGCGCGCGAGGAAGCTGGTTCGCGCGAGAGAGGCGCGGAATTAATGGGGCTGGGAAGAAGAAAAGAAGAAAGAGGCCGATCGCGATGCGAGTACGCGCGCAGAGAGCGGTTGTGCATACACGCGCGGCCCCGGTGGGAGGAGCGCGATCGTTCGCGGCATAAACAAGTTTTAATCGTGCTTCGGGCATTCGACGCGTTGAATAAATATTGATATCGGGTGACGCGACGGCCAATCAGAATCGGGGCTTATAAAACAAGCCGCTTACACCTCCGCCTGTCTATCGCGGCGCACACGCGCGCCATCTATTTCACCGTCGAGCGTTATGGCGCGTGTATTCTCGATCTACAAACATCCGAAACGAAGAAACACGAGCCCTCTCTCTGAGACGAATTTTGTGAATACAATAAGGTCGAGGAACTTAACCCCCATAAAAATCGTTTAATTAGTTGCAATTTTGTCTTAATACCTTACGGTACTAGTACTAGTGATCGATGATCGATGTAAAAAGGACGCTTGCGAAATTATGATCGAGTAAGGTAGAATCGTGGGAAAGGTTACGATTGCTGAATTGTTAACAGGAAAGACAATCGATCAATCCGACTAAACGATGAAAGGGAAACCATATTTAGCTATTCCAATTTTTAAAATGAACCCACGCGATGGTACTTTCCTACCAAACGTTGTTTTCGTAGCCTGGATCACGAAGGGGTTAAAGCCATAGAGGCGAGAATTTTCGAATTTTTTCTCTCCCCACTCGGTGTGGCGGCGTCCAGTTCGCGGTGAAGTCGGGCCGTCGATACCCATCCATGCCCGTCTAATTCTCGCGGAAACGATCGCGATGCCTGTCTATCTTCGATTTCTCCTTTAATTAAATTACGCGGCCGCCAAGGAGCTCGCCGATAAGAGGACGTAAATCACTTTCCAGTCGATAACTAATCGAACGATTCGGAGTAGACGTCGAGTCCCTCGTCGCGGAAGACGGGTGTATCGCGCATGCGCGAGCATAGCTTCCCTCTTTTCTCCCTGTCGCGTTCCTCTTGCTCTGCCCTCTTCCTTTTCGTTCGAAGGAACGGAGGGAATATGAGCGAATGCCAGAGGTAGAGAGAAGCTTGTGAGTCGCCGCGACGCGACGGGGCGAAAATGGGAGGGGGTGGGACGGAGAGGTGCACGACGAAGCTTTCGGAGAAAGGAGGACGCGTGGAGTGGATGCCAGAGTGAGATGGACAGAGGGCTGACGAAGGGAGGAGAGAGAGGTCCGCGTGGCGTCACCATGGCAACGAAGCGAGGCGGGAATGCGACGGTAACCATGGCAGCCGCGGGTTACTCTCTCTCGGACCGACCTGTCTGTCCCTCTTTCTGCTCCCTCGTCCTCTTCGTTCTCCTCTCTGATCTGGACCTCTTCCTTCCACCCACGGACACAGCCACGAGCACCGACGGATCCGCAAAGAGAAGGTGGAGCGGACGCCGGAGCTGCGCTCTGGAGAAACGTTCCGCTTTCTTTTCGCTTTTTCTTCGACCTCCCCCCCTCCCCCCTTCCGCCTCTCCGCCCTCTGACTTTTCTTTTAATAATCGTAATGCGTGCACGGAACGAGATGCGTCGCTTGGCGTGTAAATAAGGGGGGATGATTGGAGCTCGGTCGCGGTTACGTTATAATGGCGCCGCGAGAGTAATCTAGACGGAGAACAAGAGATTAGAAGAATGGACAAATTATGTAGGTTTGTCAGGTACGAGTTACAACTGGTTCTAGGTTAGATATCAGCTCGACTCCGAATGAAACGGAGTCGAACGTTAAATATTTGATGTACCATCGATGAAACGTTGACGCGAGCTTGCGGTTCCGGATGAAAGGGGCACAAAAGTCTTACATAATTCCCGGGCGGAATGAATATTTATATCCGAAAACTAGTTCTTTGTCGATGTTGGCCAGCTAGCGTTTGGAAGTGACAAGTGTTCAAATTGGTGCGACAATGGCGCGCGTGGAGTTCTATTCTCGGGAAGAATTGAATGGATCAACACCCTCTGTACCAATATTCTTTCTCATAGTCACCCTTTTTCATCCAATTAAAACTCGACTGTTAAACACAACAATGCCCCATTGATTATGACTGCACCTTTTCGTAACTCGAATCGTCCATCTTTCTCCGATACGTAACTGGATTTCCCCGCACGGGGATCGATGCTGCTCCGCACGCGTGTATTTCCCTTTTTCTCCGTCGACGTTCTTGCGAGTTCCATTCGTTAAAGCGTCGCTGCGCGTTCCGCGGCGTTGCGTTAATGTTGTTTTTAAAAAGGCTACTGCGAGCCGCATTAATTAATCGAAATACGGAAACGGGGGATAAATTTTATCTACGGCCGGGCAGCTCGACTGTTAATAATGAATCGTTAATGCTAATTTTTGATTTATGCGTTCATAATCTTTCCCCTCGGCTCGTCTCTCTGCGGTCGAGCCTCCCACCCACCGTGGACGCGTTTTTGAATGTAACCGATATCGGTGACTGAATTAAACGATCGGCCGGAAGCGCGGGATAAATTTTGTTGCAGGATGCGACGGTTATTAATAATGACTAGTTCCTAGCAGTTCGTTAATAGGATCCACGGATTCGATTTACGCGTCTCTACCCTTTGTCCAACATTTTCCAGCATCCGGTTGTCGCGTACTATCGATTGTCGTTGTTTGACAAGAAATTATTTTCAATGAAACTGTGATCGCTGAAAATTCCTAGTACTCGACTATTTCATACGCTGACCACACTAATTTCAACGTTTTTCATCCGCAAGTATTTAAACTCCGAACGGAATTCGCGAGAATATAGTTCGCTGGGGGAGAAATTAATGGAAAAGTTCCCGGTAAAGTCGACTCGTGTCTTCGGGTGCACACTTTGAATTTTCACTCCCCGAGCAAAGAAGAACGTCGACAGGCGTTAAAAAACCGTGACGGCGGAGGCGCGCGCGCGTTTAGCGCACGTAGTTTAAAAGCTATCGACATTCTTCGACGCGGAAACGTGGTTCGCCGTTCAACCAGCCGTACGGCAGAGTCGATCCTAGACGGAACAGCTCCGTGCGCGGCTGATTATGTATGAGTGTCGAGGAATCCCGGGATTCCAACCGACGCTCGACTCCCGATACGTCGGCCGAGAATCGAGTTTCTGCGTCGACGACGACATTTGCCCGTCTGCGTTTTCCACGTCCAATATATTCCCGTCGGTCCATCCATTACGAATGGTCCATTCCGGGAGTCTCCGCGTAGCCAGGCTACTTTAAACAAAATACTAAGAATTACTTCAAATTATCTTCTTGGATGAAATATAATAATTGCTGTTTTAACTCTCGATTTCAACTGAATTATTTTACTTAATTTAACAAAATAATGAACTAATGGGGGATTACATTGACATATATTAAATAATTATTAGTGTACACTTGCAGTCAAGGGTTAATTTTTAATATTTTTCTCATCCGGTGTGACGATCGGATAGCGTATACATGCGGTGACGGCGTATCGCTTAATTCGAACGCCCACGGGGCGAATAAAAATATTATTTCGCGGAGTCGATCTTCTCGATTGCAGCCCCCCAAAATCACCCGACAAAGCCAGAGATGCGACGATAAATTTCGCGTGGAAGAAAAGCAGCGAAACAGTGGGCGCGTTCTTAGCGTTATTGCTTCGCGGAATTCCGATCCCGATATCCGGGCGCGCTCGACAGGCATTCGAGACCGAGTAAAAAGGAGTAAAAAATGCTCTCCTATTGGACGGAAACGACTACGCCACTGGCCGTAGAGAACACTGAAAGAGGGAAAGAGGGTGGAGAGAGGGCAGCTAACAATGGCCGCCAACCAAAACATCCGATAAATCTAACCGGCCTGGACCTCAAGCCCCGAGGGGTTTTAAACTCTCTCACCCCCGAGCACCGCCGACGCGGGCGCAACCCTTACATTACGCTACACTCGCCGGAAAAGGGAGCCATGCCGTGTGCCATTGCAGCGTGTGGGGGCTCTGGAGGGTGGAAGAAGGAGGAGAGAGGGTTAGCCTAGAGCAGCGGTTCCGCGCGCAGGGTAGGGAGTGATATGCGACCCACGAAAAACCAAACCGAGAGAATTCCAGCAGGTTTCTCTCCCCCTTTCGTTCCTCCCTCGAGTCCCTTATACCTCTCGTTCTACCGGGCACCGTAACGAGATCTACCGCGAGTGAGCGGTCAAGTAGCTCTCCGACGAACTTTCAACGAATTTGTCCCGCGACCGCGGCCGTAATTTATTTTCTCGCAACCCCCCGCGGCCCTCTCGTCGACGCTGAAATTTTACCCGATCTTCCCTCCCGGTCGTCGTCGTATTTATTTCGGAACCGTACGAAATTTAAACGACGCTTGACCCACTTCGAGTGTCCCGGACA